AATTGATTGTTTGTTTCTTTGTGATATAATCTTGCTCTGTAGTTCAAGCTGACCTTAAACTCATTATTTAGCCCAGGCTGGCCTTGAACTCGGAGTGATCCTCCTGCCTCCGCCTCCTGAGTGCTGAGATTACAGGCATCAGTCTAAATTTTAAAGTAATATAGGCTTTGAATTCTACATCAGTTCCCTCATTCTATAGATAAGCTGTGTCTGTGAGTCCCCCCACAGGTTAAAAGTAATGGCAAAATACACTGTAGTGTATCATGTAAAGTATACCTTATGCTCTTCCCTATATGAAATGACAAAAAATAGCTGAGACTGTTTTTAAATTATCATCAAGCCTTTTGTTGTTGTATGTTCCTATAAAATGGATGTTTTAGAAATAGTTGTCTATAAGACACTTACATTCTTTTCAGTTAGAACAGATACTGGGTATAGCTCCTATTCAGTCTAAATAAACAATTATTAGGAGAATGGGTATAATTCTGTCCCAAACAGAAATTTTCATTTGGATTTTTAAAATAATGAAATAAGCCAGACTTTATAGACTCCAGAAGTCCGGTAGCCCAGCTTTGACAATACTAAGCCCATCTTAAATAGTTTTATAGAATATAGGAATTAGAGCCTCCTACTTCTATAATAATCAACTATTTGTGTTTATCTCTTTATTGAGTCCGTTTAAAGGTAGTCATGTCCCTTTTGGGGTAGAGACCTAGACACAGAAGGTAAATGTGCTAGACTGAACTGTGTGCTTTGACCATGTCTCTAATTCATCAGATATAAAAGGGCCACGTATTTTTCTTGTGCTGAATCTTAAGATGTTGAATCTGGTCTTTGGTTCACCTCCCTCCCCTTGTTCCTCCATACCCTAGATTCCTTGCCAGACTTCTGAAGGGCACTTTTATAATGCAATTGCCTATAAAAAGAAACCTGTTCGGGGACAATACGGGTTGCACAGGGAGCCTTCCTTTCACTTTCAGCCCTTGCATGAAATGCCCATCACTAGAGTCTTAGCTACGAGGTGTCAGAAAACGTGGCCTGCAGCCTGTCAGGAAAGCATTACCGCGGGGTACATTTGGATCTTTGGGAGTGCTTAAAGCACACTGCCTTAGGAAGTTTGCAGCTCATTCCTGCTTTCTTCAGAAACATCCAAAGCTGTAAAAGGGTTATTGCAGTGCCTGTGGTAGTGTTTTGTGTGTGGCTCTTTGTCCCTGTTCTAAACTCTTATTAGCCACTGAAGTGAACCTTCTCCCGGGTTTGGCCTTTTGCATTCACAGTGTATTCAAAACCTAATTACAGATCAGTCTGTATTTGAGAGTTTTAAAGCAAGTATCAGAAAACTCAAAAAGAAGATGAGAGTAGCAGTATCATTTCACGTGGAGATAAAGAGACCCAAAATGTGAATGGGTGTCAAGTCATCTGAAGAAAAGAAAAAAGGAGAAGCAACTTCATTCACTGAGCTGGTGGTTTATGAGCTGGGGATTATGGAAATATTCATGACTCAATCAAGAAGCACAATGAATTGATGTTTGAAATAGCTCATCTTTTAAGTAAACTTCGGGTAAATGGAAAGTAGACTCCCTATTCATTGCATGCAGAACTGTGTAGCAGAAATAGTTGTGTGCTAATCCCTTCCTGAGTTGCTTTAATTTGTGAAGTAAATCACAATACTTTTAGGAATTCTCTAGTTATGAATATTTCATTCAAATATTTAATAGGAAAAGGAGTAGGCTTTGTAATTAGCCATAATAATCTATACTTGTTCTTGACTTTTACCAAAATGTCTTTTTTCACATAAAAGTAATATTTATAACAAGTAGATTCTTCACTTTGCCACCAATTAGATTCAGCAGGTGGTCACCCATCTAGGATGCATTTCTGAATCAGAGAAGTGCAAGTGGGCTAATTCTTTGTTTTGTTTTGTTTTGTTTTGTTTTGTTTTTGAGACAGGGTCTCGCTATGCAGTTCAGACCAGCCTTGAGCTCACTTTGTAGCTCAGGCTGATCTCAAATTTGTTATGATCCTCCTGCCTCAGCCTCCCAAGTGCTGGGATTATAGGTGTGTACCACTATACCTGGCTCATCATTCTATCTTCCATCCTACTGGAGTACATACTCCAAACTATAACTTTGATTACATCACCCACCCATCTCTTATCCTGGTTCAAAATTCCTTAATGATTCTCTTATGATATCTAAAGTGTGAATTTCAAAGCCTTGAACTCACTTTGTAGCCCAGGCTGGTCTCAAACTCATAACAAACCTCCTGCCTCAGCCTCCATAGTGCTGGGATTACAGACGTGAGCCACCATGCCCGGCTAAGTGGGCTAATTCTTTAAGCTATACACTCTCGTCTTTAGCATTGATGCCCACAGGATCGAGTGAGGACCATGTGAAAGATCAAGTTTGAAATCACTCCATACATAGTAGACAAAAAAATTTTGAATGAGACAGAAAGTAACAAATGTTCCTCAAAGGTGGGATATCACCTGTGTCCCAATACCATTCCATCAGGTCCATTGGACAGGGACAAAATGACAAAGGCAGAACTTTTTTATTGTTGAAAGAATACACCTGGCCATTATTCTTTTTTCTTGTAACCCTGCCCTCCATCCACTCCAATCCCTGTCACGTCTAGTAATTTAAGTTCTTCTGTGCCATTGGGGAGGTTTCCAAGCAAGGTAGTACTGTATCCTCATATCATAATGGTAAAACCAAAAAAGTAAACCCTTTTAAAGGGAATTTGACAGTTTTTTATGCTTTGGTTTTCATGTTAAGTAATCCCTTTACTTTCATATAGAAAAAAATTGCTTTCCACTGAGTTTTAGATGGTTTTGATTTTCACTTAGATAGATGTTGCAGAGTTACACACATACCTCAGAGCGACTCTGAGCATCGTTTAGTGCAGATAGCTCTGGGCCAGGGATTTAGCTCATTGGCGTAAGTACCTGCCAAGCAAGCACAAGGTCATGAGTTCGATCCCCTGTACCAAAAAAAAAAAAAAAAAAAATTAGAGTTCCCATTAAGGTCTTTAACCCTGAGAGATGAACTAATTAACATGAGATAGTTCTGCCATGTTTGGGGAGTGCCCCCCCCCCCCGGTGTGGCATCTGCAGACAGTCTGTCAGTCAAGCACAGAGCTCGTTCACTGCTGGGGCAAAGAGGGGACCCCCAGCCCTGGAGCTGCTGCTGGCACTCAAGTCCTGTGTCAGACAGAGCTGCATCTTCCCTCCCTACACTACAGCGTTCCCCAGCAGAAAGACTTCTCCATGAAGAGTGTAGAGGAGTTATGAGGCTCAAAACCCTCTCTTCAGATTCTCAGTTGTGCCATTCAAGGTAGATAAGTTTTAAAAGACTGTCCCAAAATTCTATGAAGCAACTTAAAAGATCTTTTTCTCCTACCATCATCCTTTTTAAAAATTCTTCCACTAATGTTAGAACGACACTTATGCAAAACTTTCTAAACATATATTGAAAAAAATTAGTTCAGCTGTTTCTAGGCAACTAGATGAATTAATTTTAAAATTAAGAATGTGATCTTGTTTGGGGAAAGCAGGTATGTCACTGGTTTAACTGCTGTTACAGAAATGGAAACCAACCTAGCAAAAAATATTGACTCAGTTTCTAAGAGATGGGTTGGGATTGTTTTCTCTACTTTAATGTTACATAAAAGAAAAAATGCTGCTATATTGTGATATCTAGTATTGTATTTTCTTAGTAAATAGTTTGATTAACAGAGCCTCCCCCCCCCCCCCAGACCTTCTATTAGTTCTAATCTAACACCAGAAACCTAGAGCCTAGTGTTAGGTTACTAGAAAAAGAATATAAAAATACTATGCTCCATGTATGCAGCCGCAGTAGGCTTTGTTGATTTCCTGCAATGCTAAGAAGAATTATAAAAAGGACAACCACTCCTTTCCTTGGTCACTCATCACCAATGAATCATTGTTAGTAAAAAAAAAACAAAAAGATACCAGAAGGTACAAATGTGGTATATTAAATGCATCTCACATGATCTTCCAGTGGATAAAAGATAGTTTGCCAGTTTACTTCCAGACATCTGACTTGGAATGAATCAGCTCACTTCTGCTGGTAGCTCCCACTGATACGTGAAACCGTGCTGAAAGAACAGAAGTGTGTGTGTTGTCATGTTAGCATACACTGAACTCTGCCCCAGGAAGTCAGCAGCGGAGCGGTGTGAGTCATGACTTCCCTGCTCTTAGGGCGAGATCAACATGTGCCTGCAACAGTTTGCACCTGTGGTGGACATCTACATTTCAGAGAGAAATTAGAAACTGCTTGGAAGCCTTTAAACTTAAAAAACTAAAAAGGCAAATAAACAATGTAAGCCTACTTTTAGTTGTTGTATTTTTAAACTATATTCATTGACAGCTGATAAGTACTTTATTGTATTTTTAAAGTATTAGTTCCCTTATTTGTTGTAAATATTTCCCATAGTTTTGTCTTTATGATTTGGACATATGAACAAAAGTGATTCTAGTCATAATCGGTTGATCGTTGCTCTGTAATTTCTATTACTTTATACTTAAAACAATCATTTTTCATTCTTAGGCCAGTTAAATACCTGCTTGTTTTTTTTTTTTATTTTTAAAAATTGTTTTATTTTCCTATTTCAGACATTGCTAATTATGAAACTTAACAAGACTTTAGAGAGTCAGAGAATTTATTAAAATCATACCCATAATTATACATGTATGTTTTTGTACATTTTTCTGTGTAAGAGCCCACAGGTTTTCTTAGTGTCCCAAATGAGACTCACACACCTCTCTTCTTTGCTTCCAAAAAACAGCTAAGCACCGCTACACCAAAGTATCTGGATATTATTTGGATCTAAAGTTACTCAGACTCTAATCCTTCTCTTTCTTTGAAAAAGTTTGAGAAATATACCAGAGCGTTTAGTAAATTATCTTCTATAATTTGAGATGCTTTTGAGAAACTAATTTTTCTTTAAATAATTTATTTTGTTTTCTTTCTTAATAGAAAAAGTTAGAGAAATTCAAGAAAAACTTGATGCGTTCATTGAAGCTCTTCACCAAGAGAAATAAATTGTATTAAGTGAGTAAAACTTCTGCTACTATGTTGGTTGCTAAGTACAAAATTCATATAGTAAGGCTTCCTAATGGTTTACTCTTGCCAGTTTGTTCCTTATGATTTTAGTGGTGTGAACCTCTGAACTGGCGTATAACATTCCTTTGAGTAACTTGGTTACCTTCTGGCTGAACTAAACCATTTGGACTGGACAAAGGTGAATAGAGGGCTAAGGTATTTTATAATATGCAGGTGCTCAGTTTCCTATATGTAAAGAACTGAACTATAGTTGTCAGTATTTTATTCCTAATGTGCATAATAAATAATTATGCATATGTTAGTCAACATTAAAAGCTTGTTATTTATCTAGTTTAACTAAAAAGTTTAATTCTTAGACTTAGCCTTTTGTTTATAAAAATATCTAAATAAGGCCTTTTCCTGTATAAAGTCACTTATATCACTTTGAATTTGATGCTTTTCTGAATACGTTGGCTTCTGTCTGATTCTGTAATCAGGCATTGTAGGAATGTTCCTAGAAAAGTACATATTTAAGGATTTGGTAGCAGAATTGTTAATTATCACTGAAAAATTATAATCAGTAAATCATTTGCCTCTGTTGAAGAAGTCTAGAAAAGAATGTGGTGATTAAGCCACTATTATTTACTTAAAATATTTTGTCACTGTGTCTGTCGCATCAGAGTTCACATAATATTTTTGTTTAGATGTAGCTTTGAGGAGGGATTTCCTGAAAGCCATGGAAGCCACAGCTGCATTGCTGGGGGTTTTATTTAGTATGAGGACATCCAAAGCCACCCAGCATTTCTCGTAACAGTTCTGTGCTCTAACTTGGTCAGCAGAGGTGCCACAGCTGCCCACTTGTGGCTGGTTGCTATCAGAGTGTCTGTCCCCAGAACAGCCTGGCCCAGTCCTGTAGGCAGCTGGTGGTACTGTGTCTGCATGGAGAGCCCTGGCCAAGGGAGTCCATACTGATTTCCTCACTGCCTGACTGCTCAGCTCCAAGGCCCGCTCAGCCCTGGTGATTTATGGCCTTGTGAACTTAGGAGATATCTGTGACGTGGACAGATGATCTGTTTTGCACTCTGCAGGTCCATTTAAAAGAACAAATGTGGCTGAATGATAGTCTTGATTCATTCCAACCATTTTATAAGTTACCAAGCATCTGAAGGAATAGTTCTCAATAATTTTAGCATACATTGGATTTCTCAGAGTGATAGTGTTGCTTTTTAAAAAATTAGTTTTCAGTAATTGTAATTCTAGCATTTGCTGAGGATGTTTCCATTCAGCATGGTCATACAGATTCTTCAGTACCAATTTTTAATTTATTCTAAAGTCATTGTGTAAGAAGTTAATTTCAGTATATTTTTATTGTCATATCATGTTTGATAAAATCATGCTAATATTTTATGGTAGGAGATATTCCAAATAATTTTAGTAACACTACCAAACTTAGGCAGTAAAGTTCAATTTTTTATGATCATGAAGTAGTAAGTTTTTCTAGAAATTTCACATTTGTCTTCCTAGATCCAAATTTATCAAATAGGTTTCTCTTTACAGATTGCTACAGATAATATAATCACCTCTGCATACCTCTGAAGAAAGAAAACTTCAGTCTTTTGTCCTGCCTCTTCTGCTGTTCCACCTTTCTAAACATACAATAAAGTCACGGGCTAAAGTATCTGATGTGTGGTACAGGCGCGCTGACCAGCAGCTGCCTTTTGAATGGAAGAACAGTGGAGATGCGTTACCGTCCCATTTGTACTGACAGGACAACTTGGGGTAGCGTAACTGGTGTGGCTGTCGGTATGGCCCTTGAAAATAAGAACCCGGCTGTCTGCTTGTTGTCTTTTGTAGTGGCGCTAGAATAATTCATTAGCAGGTATTACTCACCTCAGTTTCTTTTCCAGAAATGTAATGCTAGTTGATTTGAAGTACAATTTGCAGCAATTGTTAAGAGTTATCAGTTGTGGGGCTGGAGGTTTAGCTCAGCGGCGCAAGTACCTGCCTTGCAAGCAGGCAGTCATGAGTTCGATCCCTGGTACCGATAAAAAAAAAGGAAAAAGACAAAAAAAGAGTTATCAGTTGTATATAAAATGATGGTAGCTTACTAAATTGCCATCTGTATCTGTAATGTCTGTATGCAAGGAACCATTTGACCATGAAAGTGAAAGTCCGTGTATATTTACCTTGTGAGAAAAAAAATAAAAACTCACTAGCAAAAGAACCCTCCAGACAGGTTGGTTTGAATGACAACAGTTCAGTGTATTTTCATTTCAAAAACTTACGCCTTTCATTGCTAGCTTCGAAATTTGCCCTAGAAGCCAGCTGCCCTCCTCTTGCTATTTTCTATCTCTGTATCCAGTGAAAAAACTCATTTTAGATGTTATATTCTTAAGTTGGCTGTTTGCTGTGAGGCTTTCTGTTTTCCCAGAGCCACTGGGTTATGACACAGGGTGAGTAAGTGAAGGGTGTCAGTGGAGTAATCGCAGTTAGAATTGTGTCTGAATGTTGGAAGCACGCATAAGGAAAGTGCTTTATTTTGTGTGACCATTTTAGTTCATTTCTTTCTTCTTGTGTACTAGGAGTCCAACCCAGGGCCGCGCACCCTGGGCAAGCACTGTACCGCCGGGCTGCATCCCTAACCCCGGTACGCACTGCACACAGAAGTCCTGTCAGCAGTTAGGCCTCCTGAGCGTCCCCTCTCAGCTGGAAATGGAAAGTTGAATTCATTGCAGTTCAGTTGCAGTGATATCCTCCACACATTTTCTTTTGTTTTACAGTATATGATTTTTTTAATTGGCCAAAGAATTTTAAAACAAAGAAATATGTTATATTTTACTTAAACTATCTTTCTCATCTCCTACCTTTTTTTTAAGCCTTTCTGTTGTCATCGTGTGACTTTTTATTTTACAAGGTATTACATGTTATAGTTTCTTTGGGTTAGTTTTTTTTTTTTTTGGTAACAATTCCCTTGCTATCCTTTTTTTGTTTTGTTTTTAACGTCAGCAAGCTCTTCTTTATGAAGATCTGACACTTAATATGCAAGACTGGAGAATGTCACAAAATACTGGTTTTTTGGAAACTCTGAACTCAGTAGCTAGTAACAGAGGGTGTGTTCTTGGTAGATGAGCAGTCGTGGGAGCCTTTTGTGTTTCTTTAGTTCTCGGTGTGAGCAGAAGAGCGAAGCTGCCCTGCTGCACCCTCGGGCCCCGCGACCCCGCCCGGAAGCAGGCAGACCTCAGACTTCATGTGGCAGCAGTGACGATTTTCAATTGCAAGACACTCATGTCAGCCACACATCTGTTTCTAAAGCAGGAAGAATAGGGCCGTATTTTTTTCTGTGAACTACAGTTAGAGAAAATGCCATCTGCTGTATTTCTACACATTTCTCCCAAGCAAAAACCTGATTCTGGGCAGTAATCTTATCATGTCCCGGAAGCTCTCCAGAAAGGAGAGCCATATTGTGACTGAAATGTTTAAATAGGTGGTAAAAGTACATTAAGAATCTCACATGACCCCTGACATTCTCCCCACTGGCCTCAGTAATATCGCTTCTTGTGTGGATTTTTTTTAGCTGATCTCATATTAAGCATGTTTTTCCCCCTTGAAAGATAGGTAGTTATTAAATGCAGATGTTGCAGGAAGAAAAAATAAAATTCATTCCCAACAGTGAATCCGTGTGTTTTCATGCATTCAGTCTACAGAAGTTAGAGGCTAACTGGACAAGGAATCATTTGTTTTTTCATGACAGAATTTCCAGCGTATGGAGTGGCGAAAGCGCTGTGAGAAAGACTGATTAATTTTAAATCGCTGCTCTGCCAAGTGGACAGGTGAAGATTATGAAAGCGAGCCTGGCACCGGGCAGCTCCTGCCGCTTCAGTGGGGCTGGCGGAGCTGCAGCGTGGCAGAGCGCCCCACCTTGCTGGTACCCAAATTTCCTCTCCTCTTTCCCAGGCTCTTTCCCCCATGGGCTCCTTCTCAGAAATTTAGTGACCAAAGGCAAAGAAACACTGTAAAAATGAGCGGGTGACATTGCCAGAGCGGGCTTCCTCGCTGTCTAACTTGGGGATTTCACATACAAGACTCAGAGTGCAGGTTTAAAAGACTAATTCCTTAACTAGCTAATCGTTTTGTATTTATTTATTTTAGGTATATTTATCTGAGAAGAGAAACATGATATTTTCTCCTTCCAGTAAATGTGATCTAACAGTGGCTTTTATTTCAGTTACCCAAGCTGGCATATCTTATACCTTCCTACTTTAGCAGTGTGGAAATGTGCTTGAAAATATGCTGACTTTTTTGAATGATCATGATTATGTATTTTGTAAACATTCAGAACTTATCTTGTGTTTGCTCGTACACTGTGGATCAACTTTGTATTTCTAAGACCTCACATGACATGTAGATATTACAGAACTTATATTTTGCCTGTGCTTGTTCTAAGTTCCTTTGTGTGGCTGAGTAATTAAAAGATACTTAAATCACATTATAACTCATCATTGGAGAGCATCTTTTAAAGTTTTCCCTGTTTTATGAGGCAGAGAGAGAAAACCCGTGTGGGATCCTTTGAGCCCCCCAGATAACCAAATCCGTGAGGTGGCAGACGTTTACTGTGGCTCTTGCGGTGCTTCAGTTCCCCTGCCATGCACTGCACAGGTGTAACCGTGTTCGCTGCATGCTTCGTCTCTCCACAATACTTAGCAGAGCATTGTGATATTTTTCTTGGTGAAGCACACATAGCCTCTCCTCTGATTGTGCTTGCTGCTACGGCCATCACCTTCCTGAATGATGCTGATTTGTTCTGTTACTCTTACGCTTGAGGCTCGCTGAAAAGTGCCAGCCGGGTCAGACCCAGGTGGAGCTGTGAAGATGGCCAAGTCCCCCAGCGCCTCAGTAAAAACTCCGTTGCTCATTTTTTATTTTTTATTCCCACCAGCACTTTGCTCATGTGTGATGCTAATTTCTTGATCATTGGATGTGTAAAGTCAGGCAGAGTACAGGTTCCTTACTTGGCTAAAGTCAAACCCGGGAAGATTCCAAAGTCACGATTACATCTGTAAGTGACACATATCTTTGGTCAATAAGTGTCAGGAAATTTTTTTACAAATTCCTTTAGGAGAATCATAGGCAGTAATTGTATTTAAATTAATTTTCATCATCTCTGTGGCTCAAGTTAAAAGGTAGTTTTAAGAAAAAGTTCTGAAGACTTAGCAGTTGCTTTACCATGTGCAGTTGGAGTGTCAGTCAGTCTGTCCTGTGCTGTAGATGATACAGATGGCTTCATCCTAGTTTAAAATAACCATGAAGGGGGCTGGGGATTTAGCTCAGCGGCATAAGTGCCTGGCTTACAAGCAGGCAGTCGTCAGTTCGATCCCCGGTACCGATAAAAAAGAAAAAGACAAAAAAAAAAAAAAAAAAATACTTGGGGGCTGGGGATTTAGCTCAGTGTCATAAGCACCTGTCTTGCAAGCAGGTGGTCGTGAGTTCGATCCCCGGTACCGATAATAAATAATTAAATAAAATAACCATGAAGCCAGGCATGGTGGCGCATGCCTGTAATCCCAGCACTCGGAAGGCTGAGGCAGGAGGATCATGCAAGTTTGAGACCAGCCTAGACTACAAAGTGAGCTCAAGGACAGCCTGAACTGCATAGCAAGACCAGTCTCAAAAAGACAAAATAAGCATAACCCCAGATGGTGATTACTAAGCTGATAAACCCGGAGTACTTAGGAGAGAAGATGAGTACTGCAAAACATTGTTTGCAAAGATTAAAAAGTCACACTGTATCAAGAAAGGTTAAATTGCAGGTGATCTTTAGTTCAAGAAGACAGTTTATAAAACTAAGCGTAAGAAGCACCCACACTGTAAATCTTCAGGTTAGAGCTGCACCCCAACACCAGGGCTGCCTTCCCAGCTTGGAGGCTGACAGTATGTTGTGCTGTCTGCGAGGTACCAGGTGAGCGGCGTCCACGGCCTGTAGAGCCCATGGAAAGGGTTATTCGGGATCCAGTCCATGGCGGGGTAAGTGCTGCCTGCTTTTTCAGATCATCTTATTAGTACGTAATGTTCTTTGCAGTGTGTGATGCTGTTCTCCCTGTGGAGCCAGTGCTTGTAAGCAGCACGTCTTCACCCCTGTTTCCCTCCCCTCACCCCTCTCTGCATCCCCCACTTTTGTACACGTTTGCATTAGGTGAGTCCTGTAACTACTGCTTCTAAACGGTTTTAAATCAAAGTTGTTCTTTGTGGTAGACGTCATTGTTGCAGCTGGTGTTGGTTTAGTTCATTAACCCAGGTGTCAGCTGGTTCCTATGCAAGTATTTGGGGATATTCAACAACTTGAAACAAGTGAGCTGAGAGTCACCCCTGAAAGCCCCATCTCCGCCCTGCTCCTCCTGCCCAGGCCTCCCAAGCCCGGTCTCCACAGTCAAGGCCCAGGGGCCACCTGCTGCTGTCACAGAGCAGCAGCATAGGAGTCCGAGCATCACCTACTATTCCAGTGCACAGAGCCTAGCACATACCAGCATCTTTTCCCAAGACCTCTAATGTTGGCGGGAAGTTTTATAGGGAACAGGCGAGCTCCACCTTCTCGCTTTGTTGGTTTACCTGAGAACCAGGTCAGATGATGAGAGCTGCTCTACCTGGACTCCTTGCCTGCCTCTCAATCCAGTGTTGCAAATCCTTTATGGTGCATCTCTGTGGAGAGGACACAGAGTGCCTTCTGCAGAAACCTGTCAACCCATAGGTTCGTCAGTTTCAGGGTGCCAGGTAACCCGTGCCAACAGGGTTCTCAGCTGCGTGTGCTTCCTCCTGACCATGAGGACTCGAGGCCCTGGCCAGGTCCTTTGCTTCATGTTGTCCACCTCTCAGCTGAAGCAATGAGCCTCTCCCTTTTCCTGCTCACTTCCTCTCTTCCCATTTGCTGTGAGCCTCTCTTGCAGAGCTCTCACCCAGAAGCAGTCCCACAGTCCTTTGCATTAGCAAAGTGTGGTGCTTCCTGTTTCTCCTTTAAGAAATATATTTGTCCAAATAAGAAAATGTATTTGGAATTAAATGTTCAGAGTGCTCACATTTGCCAGGATGCACCTGCTGGTCAACAGCCAATCCCCTTGCATGCTAAACATACATCGTTTTTATACAATTTCTGTGTGATAAAAAGCAGGTATCATACTCAGCACTTGCCCAGTAACGGCCATGAACCTGCCTTCCTGTGGCCGCGAGCAGCACTGACAGCGGAGGGACCTGCCTAGGCTAGCAGCTCTTGCTCCAAGAAGAGAAGGGCATCTCCCCCCCCCCCCCCGGGCCAATTGTAAAGCTCTCAGCTGGGCTCAGGTGCTGCTGTTTCCACTTGAGGACCCACCAAGAAGCTCCCCTGACACTTCTTTATAGTCAGTTTATGTCCTGCCAAAAGATGGGTTCTATGAAACTTACTTTTCTTTTCTTTCTTTTTGGTTTTTGGAGATAGGCTCTCACTATGTAGCCCAGGCTGGCCTCAAACTTGTAGTGCTTCTTCTGCCTCAGCCTCCCTACTGCTGGGATCACAGGCGTGTGCCCACCATGCCCTGCTTAAAACTTTTATTTAAAGGAGAACTTAAATCAGAATATCTTGTGTTTGTCATGCTCTATCACAGGAATTATTTCCACATTCTAGGTGTGGAAATCAGGTAGGCTCAGAACAGCTTTAAGTAGCTCAGGAGATCATTCTAGAGAGTAGTAAACTCAGAATCTGAAAGCAGGTCTCTCTGCTAACCTATGCGTTCTTCAAAATAGTACCCCCAAAATATTTAAGGAAACCAAACATATTTTTAATACTGGGAGCACACGAGGGCGAATGAAGCACCTAAGACACACAGCATGAGCTCTCTGATTTCCTGAATGATTTCTCTCACAATCCGAGGCTGCTCTCACAGGGCAAACATGAGGAAGTCGCAGCAGAGATCGTGGCCCCCGTGAGGACGTGGGGTTCAGGACGCCCTGTGTGTGTCCCCCGGGCCCTGCGTGCCAGGAGTGACCCAGCGGCTTTGCAGTTTCTCCCAACCGGCTCATGTTCCCGTCCAACCCGCACAGGTCCTCTGCTCTTTCTGAGTCAACCTGTAAAGATACAGTTCCTTTTCTCTTGAGCTTTTAAACCTTGATTCCACACCCTATTTTCCCAAATGATTCCCTTTGACTGTTTCTAATAAATCTTAATGCTTTTCAAGGTGTTGGCAGAAGTCTTTACCGTTTCAACCAAATTTATAAAATTCCAGAAATCTCACACGCGCGCAAGTGTCTCCCCTGGAGACTTTGCCAGGGTCTCTAGCCAATCAGGACCCAAATGGTCCGGATCTGATGATGCTAATCACGCTGCTGGGCACACCCTTCTCATGGGCATCCTTCCGCCTGAACACCTCATCGCCACGTCCTTGCTGATGATACTAATTACCGTGGTCCCCACGAATCGAGATCCCCGAGTGGAACCTCGCTGCTGTCTGTCTGAAGCCAGGGCCCGGGATCCGGCCGTCTCCCCGTCGGGCGCCCCCCTTCGGTGCAGTTCGCCAGCTGTGGACCCTGTGATTGGCTGGGCTTTTTTGATGTGCAGATACTACAAGTCGGTCACAAACCTGTGTACAATGGGCCTGTTCTGGTTCATGTGAAAATCAACACCCTTTTTTTTTGTGTTCCTGGGTGACAGGATGCTACAATACTATTAGCATTTGCAAAGAGCATGCTCTGCCCAAGGGCGTCACCGCAGATCGCGCGCTGCTCAGTTTGCGCTGCTCTATTATGTGACAGACACAAAGAAGCTGAAGGCTGGCAAAGGCCTGTCAAATCCTGTAATGTAGCGCTCGACCCCCAAACTCCCCTTGGCCTCTAAGCATCTCTTGTTCCCCATCCCACCCCTTTCTGTGAATGCGCGCTGAGGTAGGTAAATGCATTCAGCAGCCCGGTAGGCGGGGAATTCCTTTCTGACCTCATCCCTGTACCATTTGTTTGCAGGCTTGTAGGGGGAGAGGAGGACATTTTGGACCCCTTTGTGTCAAACCGTTTTCTCGCAGGTTGGGGAGTTAATGGTAACTTTGTCTGAAGCCAGCCAAGCAGAAAGCCTCCACCGATGAGGCGTGGCATGCGCACCCTCCCCAGAACTGCAAGATGAGGACTGGGAATGGGGGTATTTGGGGCCAGATGGGTTCGCAGCACGTCTGCGTCCTACGCATCTGCCAGTGGGAAGCTCAGGCCTTCTCAGGGATTTAGGCGTGGACTTTTCGATGGCTTTAAAAACATTTTCCTCTTTCTGAAGCATCGTGGCTTTTGTACACAAGCCTGTGCATCATCTTTTGTGCAATCACTGATTTATCTGTTCTGAAAGCTTCCTTTTACCTGGGTAATTCTATGAACAAAATACTGTGTGGCCTGGAGAGTAATGCCACTTTTTTTAACTTTGTATTTTTGTTTTTTAACCCCCCAAAAATGAACTACAGCCTTGGAACAGCAATAGCTTTTATTCTG